GCTTACATGTTACCTGTTTGAATGAACAATAAATGTTTATTTTTTTTATTCTAAAATGTACAAGAAAATGTACTAGGTATTTCAATAATCCTTTATTTGTATTCTCAAACGGAGGTACAGTATGGCTGTTTAAGTATCGCAGGGACAAGGGTGTTTCCCTTTTCTAAACACACAGCCAAGAGTGATCAACCGGCGGCATGATAAACTCTATCAAGGATGATAGTGAAGCTTATTGGGCTCCGTTTTGTCAAAAATGGCATAATGTCCATATATCCCCCCCCCCCTAAAATCTTATAGATCTGATACTGTAATGAGATTGTAGGTTTATAATTTCTTTGATTAATGCCTGCCTGTGATTAATGCTACGTGAATTGGAACTTAAATGTTTATACATACTTTCCGTTCTTTTGATTTTGAGACAAAAAATGCAAGAATCTGCATGCACAAACGCTTCTGTTTCTATGCAGAAAAAATATTAAGACGATGTTTCAATTTTAGTGCCCAACTCTGCTACTGATTAAAAATTTGTTGAAAGCATTTTTTCAGTTCTCTATGATTCTTTAAAACATTATCACAGAAAAGAAAAATCCACTGGCTGACTCCCCAAGCTTTTTTTAAAAGCTAAACTTGTGATCTAGTATTCCTGTGTTATCTGCCTTTTATTTGCTGATGTACACTTTCCAATCATTTTCCTCGGAAAGATGGATAACTCTGTAAGAATTCTGCATTTTTTAAACATTCATAAAAAGCTCAATTTTCATCCGATTTAAAAAATGATTGCTGATATGGAATCAGTGGGTCATACTTTACACAATGGACATAAAAAAATGACAATTTTTTGTCTCCTTAAAAATCATTGGGCATTCCTGCTATCTCCTTGCTGAATGGACGCAATATCCGGTTTATTCACAACGGTTAAATCGTACGTAACTAAATTCGCAAAGTATAAACATGTAATAGATAATTGTTTCGCATACGAGACGAATACTTTCCATGAAAGGGTTTTATGTTTTTTTCCGTTTTCTTAAAATAGTTCAAACTTGTTCTTGAATCTGATTGGCTGAAGGATGTGGGATGGGATAGGATAGGATAGGACTGTAACTGTATACTGTTTAACGTCCCTCTCCAGAATATTTCACTGATAGGCCCTATGGAGACGTCACCATTGCCGGTGAAGGGCTGCAAATCTAGGCCTATGCTCGGCACTTACGGCCTTTGAGCAGGGAGGGATCTTTATCGTGCCACACCTGCTGTGACACGGGGCCTCGGTTTATACGGTCTTATCCGAAGGACCGCCCCATTTAGTCGCCTTTTACGACAAGCAAGAGGGTACTGAGGACCTATTCTAACCCGGATCCCCACGGGGGGGATAGGATAGGATAGGATAGACGACTTTCACATTCCTCAATAATATGTTGTAAGCGGCCCGTGTCAAAGGTCAATCGGCGTAAAGTCTTTAACTTAAGCGGCCTTATTGCTAAAACAATACTGAGCGGGTATAATTTCGACTTGTTTATTTATCGAATTACTGTATTTTGAGCCATTTTACGTATACACAATTTGATATAGACTTACACTATGGATCCTGGAGATCAGATTTACACCCTGCAAGAATTCCAAACGTGGAAAACAGAAAATTTGAAGGCCTATTTAACCAAGAGGGGTCTGTCTAAAGCAGGTACTAAAGAAGAACTTGTAGCTCTTTGTTTTTCTGCTTCCAAGTTAAATCTACCTATTATTCCAACAGCTCGTGATATTTTAGAACATAATGCTAAGTGCTATGAAAGTATTTTATCTGCTTGTGGAATCCAAGACCCCCTGAAAACATACGAAGGATGGATGGACGAGAAGAGTGCAATAGATAAGTGGCCACCGACATTTTTGTCTGACATTACTCAGTTTTTATTAAAGCATGGAGATGTCTCCCTTACAAATTCACTTCTCAAAGATTACAAGGTTGGCAAAGCATATGAATATTTTACAAGTGGCTGGCTCCAAGAAGTTTTTTATTACCGTTTGACAAGCGAAAAGAAATGCATCTTAAGAGCAAAGTGCACCCCCTCCCAACGAATTCGAGATGATTTACATGACTGCTGGGCAGCAATTTCAGAAGAGGATGGTGAGGTTTTGGGAGCCTACTGTACATGTACTGCAGGGTATGAAAATTTACATTTCAGTTGACTAATTATGTAATGGTCAAATTTGATTTAATAAGATAAAGTGTGTCATACATGTTTTAAATTATATGTTTGACATTGATCAATATTGTAGATTGGGGCAAACATGCAACCATGTTGCTGCATTACTTTTTCGTATCGAGGCTGCTAATCAGTATGGGCAGACATCATGTACTATGGCCAGATGTGGTTGGATGCAGCCAAAGGTGATGAAAGATTTGGAGCCACAGAAAATATCAGCCTTATGTACCAGCCTGAAGAAATCTTCTCGAGCTAAATATGGTCTATCATTTAAACTATGATTTCATAACATACTTCCATATTGTTGTTTACTTAAATATTCTGTAGTACCGGGGTATTATACAGTGTCCTTGAAATACATAAATTTTTTAAAATTTCTTTAGATGTTTTTTTTTTTCATTTCATATACAACAAAAACACTAATGAAAGGCTAAATATATATCTTTTTTGAAAGAGATTATGAATCAATTTTGTGTTTATATATGATTTAATTTTATAGCTAAAAGCAGACCACTAGTGGCCACTGAAAAGAAAAAGTACAACCCTCTTGAAATTGAGGAGTCCAACACCGCCATACTTGACAGTTTGAGCATTGCACTTCGTGGTGTTGTCCCCGAGGCCTGTTTATTCAAAGGTAAATTATAACTAATCTAACATTATGGACTCTTTATAACAGGGGATTGAGACATATCATAAGTCTGAGTACAGTTGACACCTGAGAGCCCTTGTGCCAAAGGGCAACAACCCTACTCGGACCTGATAATTAGTGATGGTCCCCTTCTGAACAGTCCATGATTGTTTTATTATTATAAAGAATCTTATATTAAGATCGCATAAGATTAGAAAACATTAGTCAAATCATGTTTTCTTCTATCGACTGCTCCAATTCCATACTTTCAAAGTAACTTCAATATAATTTTGTCCTCACTGTTAAAATTAATTGTTTACCAATCCATAAACAAATTTAATTATGTAATTATAAATATGAGTCATCTTGTTTATGACACCTATTTTAAACTAAGTGAAGACAACAGAGTTGTCATACTGATTGCTCGCTTGAGCTATTTTTATTGTCATTTGAAGGGAGGCAACACAGGTGTCACCCTGCAGAGCATGAATAAGACTTCACAAATTGTCTCCTCACATTTGACAACCTTTAAACCAATTAGCATGACTGTATAATTCTGAAATGTATTATTACTAATTAATTAATAAAAATCTATATAAGTTATATAACATAGTTATAAAATTTGTACGATGGAAATACTGTAAAAATGTTTTCACATGTAATGATGTTCACTGACTAGTCTGGCACATTACTATGTTGCTTATCGATACTTTCCCGTGAGGTGTTTCCTGGTTTGCCCAGTTTGCTGGCTTGGTACATCATATAATATACAACATATCTAGTTTGACAAGACGTGGATAAATTTTACACCAGTCAAAGACTTATTATGATTAGTTTTGTTTATTTACTTCAAGGTTTACCTCGGACTGGTGATGTTCCAACTTCAGCTCAGGAAGCAGAGGGAGCCGTAGGATCAAATGAAGAAGATACAGGCCATGAAGACCTTTCTGTTATTGATAAATTTGATTTATCAACCATATCAAAGTCTTATGGTTCTCAAAATACTTGTTATGAATTTTTAAATTTTTTACCAAAAATTGATGATTATGAAATTTCAACTATTGAGAAATTTACTGTTGGACAACATGAAAATGAAAATTGGCACCGCTTGCGTAAAGGACGGATAACTGCTTCTAAATTTTATCAAGTATATACAAAAGTGAACTCTGTTCTGGATGGTCGTAGAAAAGATGTACAAGTAGATTGTTCTTCACTTACCAAGTCTATCATGTGCTATACAAAGATTAATCCCAATATCAAATCTTTAAAATATGGTAGAGAAACTGAGCCATTAGCAATCTGTTCTTATTTGAATACTTATAAAAAACAACATGTCAATGTGTCATCAAGAAAGTGTGGTCTGTTTATAGACAAGAGAAATATTTTTCTTAGTGCTACACCAGATTTACTGGTTTCTTGTTCATGTTGTGGAAATGGTCTTCTTGAAGTTAAGTGTCCTCTTGTACCGGAGTGTAAAAAATGTAAATCTTTTTGTGTTTGTCATCTTCCAGAATATGTAAAAATTTGTAATGATGGTTTTTGTGTTAAAAAAAATCATGCATATTTTACCCAGATTCAGGGTCAGCTCGGCATAACAGGTCGCAATTGGTGTGATTTATATATATACACAAAAAATGGCCCATTACAATGTAGAATCAAATTTGATCAGGATGCATATTCAAAATTTTTGTTACCAAATTTAGTTATATTTTTCACTGATTACATTGTACCTGAACTATTACAAGGTAAACTTAATGAATGTCAAGAGAATATAGAACCTATGGATGTTGATGTGGGTACAAGTAACAGTTCTCGATATTTTTGTCCAGTGTGTAGAAACATCATAAAAGAAACAGGGTCTATTACATCCTATAGTGACAGAAGCATTGCTTGTGATGAATGCAATTTGTGGTTTCATTTTAAGTGTGTAAATGTAACACAAACAGTACTAAAACAGAAAGATAAGTGGTTTTGTTTGAAATGTTCAACATCCAAGTAAATTATGAGTATTTATTGACGGAGAAAAACTGTTTATTCATAGGGAGTGTTAAATATTATTTCATTGTTAGTTTGTTTGTTTGTTGTTTAATTCATTAATAAATGTTACTGTGAATTGAAAAAATGTTTTACTTGTTCTTGTAGGTGCTATACATAAAAGAAAATTTTGGAATAATTTATTTGTATTTAGGCAAGGGAGGATACAAGTTGCAAATGCCAGCAACAGTTTTAATTATATCATCTAAATGCTGAAATAAAGTAGCAGGGACTTCATGCTTCAGAATTCTGAAATACTTCATTCTGCGAATGGCTTGCTCAACATATATACGCCTGTTTGCTATTTGCTTTGTTTGCTGTACTTCGTCAGCTGACATTTGGCAAGCTCCTCTACGTCCTGGTGGAACCATCAAATTGGCATGAAGAAGGGTAACCTCTTCTTTGATTTGGAATCCTCTGTCAGCCATGATGACATCATAGGGTTCAATCAAACTGTAGAAACCAGATCTATTTGTGATGTATTTATCGCTGGTTCTACCTCCCCAGCAGTCTGATATAAAATTAATCATCCCGGATGGGTTGATGCTGATCAGAAACTTAGCAGTATGATGGTGTTTATAATCTGACCACGTTTTTGTCTGCACCTCTAGATTTTGCGGTTTCTCTAAAAATACCTCAGTACAGTCAATGATATGGCGCACAGATGAATATTTTTTGCTTCTGAAGGATGGTGGTAGATTTTCACGCACTACTTCTTTGGATGGATTGAACACCAAGGTTCCAAGAAATTTGGATAGAATCTTGATCCATGTGGTGAAGATTTTTGAGATATGTGGAGCACTGATATTGAATCTTGTAGCTAAGTCTTCATTCAAAAGACCTAATCTTAATTTCATAAGAGTCAATGCCATCTCCTCTTTTAATGACAGAAATCTTCGTGGCCCTGACTTCTTTAAAACCTTGTGTTTAAGGGTGTGGAACACATGCTTAGGACCTCTCCAGTACTTGGTTTTCTTTATCTTTGGCTCAATAACCTTGTAGATGGTGTGAAAAGCACTTAACGAAGGCAAACCAGTATGGAATCTTACAGATTTGTTACTTTTTAAGACTGTGTCTGTAATGGAAAGTGGTTTTTGCTTTAGCTTCTTTTGCTTTATTAACTCAATTTGGAGTTCATTGATTTTTGATTTGAGTGCTGAAATCTCTTTTGATTTTTCAATACATTTGATACAAGGATTTGCATAGTCATGATCAAGTTTGCACACAGAAACAGGGTCATCTTGGCTTTCAGATATTTTCCTTTTTTTGGGTGTTTCTTTATTTAATTCTCTTTTAGTTGGAGGTAAGCGACCCTTGGAGACAATAGATGACATATGCCCCAGATTTATGGTGGGATAAGGATGAAGCAGTGAGGGTGCACCATCAACAAAATGCTTAGAACAAACTCGCGAATTGTCATTTGGTGACCAGATGTTCTTCCCATCTGTTGAGGTCCTGTTTATGTTCTTTCTCCATACAGACCGTGCATGGGGATCGCGAATTTCAGTTGGAAAGGGAAATAACTGAAAGGGTGGTGTGCATATGCACCTTGATGTGCCAAAATTGCAAGAGTGCATTTCGCAAAACTGTTCTCGCCATTTTTTCAAATGATATCCACTGCTGTTGCAGTCTTTGACACAACAAACTCTCTGGGTCATAATGTTTAAAAACAAACCAAAAATAATTGGAACTCCTAAACTGAAAATTAGAAACTCAACAAAATTTTGCAACATACCCATCACCAAATGCTGAAATTTAAAACAAAATCATAAAGATTTTTCAATATTTTTTGACAATGAAAAATTTAAAGTATGTAATTAACATCTTCACTGAAAGTTAGGGGAGAACAGTCCAAGAGCACTCTGCATTGTATATTTGTTTAAACAAGGTATCTTAAATTTGAATCAAATTTCTTCTTTAATCATTCTTTCTTAAGACTTACTATTCAAATTTAATACTTATAGCAATTACTTATAATTACATGATTAAGACAACATCTCTTTTTGTGTTTGTTTGGTTTTTGTGTGTGTGTGTCTGTGTTTTTTTTTTTTGTTATACTCTGCTTGAAAAGCAGGAGGATATATAGTAATTGGTATATCCGTCTGTACATCCACCTGTTACACTTTGGGGTACCCATCTCTTATCCGCATCATACCACTGAATGAAATTTGATGAGACTTTCACAGAATCTTTATTACATATTGCCATTGTAACCTCCTATTTTACTTTTTGATCTGACACATTAGTTTGGGTTTCCCACAGCAAACATGGACACTACCATTATATTCTTATGGGAGGCGGGGGTATCATTTAGTGAGCTCATTGCTCACAGTACCTCTAGTTTGTTTTTGTTGTTGTTTTTTTTTTTGACACATAAATTTTATCTTAGATATATACTCGATTCTCATTATATCGCGGGTTCCACTGTATCGCGGTATATTCCAAAAAATCAAATACATAGCTCATCTGCTTTTTGTTGAAAAAAATATCAATCTGTCATCTGAATGTAAATTTTTGTGATGATTAAAAAGTATGGAAAATGCGTCGGAAAAAAATTATTCAAATAAAACGTAATTTTACAGAAATCGATCTCCGTTTTTATTATTTTTAGCCCACTGAGTTTATAATATAGTAAAATCCATATAAAGTTCATGTTTTGAAAGTCTTTAGTTTGTATAATTGTTTATTTTCTTATGTAAAATTACATGGTAAAATAAAAAATAAGAATTGAAGTCCATGTCAACCTCAAGTTTCCATGTTTTCCCATACCGCGATACTATGAGACTCTCCAATTTAGGAGGTAAATGAGACTTCCTGTTTTAAAAATAGACTACAACTTAGACGATGCAAGCTTGGGAAATAATTTGATACTAACAAGTTAGGCCATAGTTTGCTTTATTAATATCAATTGATGAAAGTTAAATTTAAAAAATCAAATTACACTTTTTTATGCAAAAGATTTAAGTACCGCGATATAATGAGACACCTGTATACATCTACATGTACAGTATTTTGTATAATACTAAATGAGGAACTGCAGGCAGTTGGGATTGTTGTCCATAACTGCATACAGTGTTCTACCTATGAGATGTATGTCTCTTGGTTTAAATAAAATCTTATATCTACTGTAGTATAGATCATTAGATCTAAAATACTGCAATTATATATATGACATATCCATTGAAAAAACAAAACAAAACATTTTTGTAGGATGAAACAAAGTGATATCAATAATTAAGGCTATGATTAAAAATATTATCCTGTATGAAACGGTATTCATTGATTTTAAATACTAGTTTATAATGTCTCTCGTCATGAGTGTTTACATAGGGAGAAACGCTATGCGACTACATTAATGTCCGATTCGCACGAATTTTGAATGAAAGTAATGGCAATTTATTGTTATTTAATAAATTCAGTAATAAAGAATTTTGATTTTCTTACGTGTATGGATCTTTGCTACAGAATAAAAACAATAAACGTCAGATTGAACGACCCTCTGGACTGATGTATTACCATGTAGCCATTTTGTTTCTACTGACGCGATGGCATGTGCACCCGAGAAGGTTGGTTCATAAAAGGCATAAAAATTAAAAAATAAAAGAGATAAAGTGAGGAAAAGACAGTTAGTAAAATCTATTCTATGTAGTGCTGTAAAATAAAGTTAGAGGTGAAAGACCAACTAAAAATAAAACAAGAATTTACATACTATACAGTAGCTTAACTCCTAAAGTAAAATTGTTTCGGCCCTAAAAGTTCTTTAAAAAAAAAGAAGCCACAATTAAAAAGAACCTTACACCGTTTCCATGACTGTTTCTAATTAAAAAAATTATTTTAACTCTAAAAATAATTTTGTAGTCCTCTTTATCAAAAAAAAAAAAAAAAGGAAAAATATTAAGGTCTGTTGGTTGTAGACTGTGTACTAATTTTTTTAATAATTTGAGCTCTATGGCAATGTAGAGCAAATATCATGTTGCGGCTCAGGTTCTCAATAAATATCTGAATTTTGTTGTTTCTGGATGGAATCTCTGAAAATGTGAAGTAGGAGGGGTCGATAATAATCTGTAGCAATCTAGTGTCCTCCAATAAGTATGAATTTGATTCCTGTGTGCCAATTTTTTCTTGCAGGTAATGACATATTTTCATCAGATATGGCTGTCTAATAGAATCTAAGGTGGGACATTTTAGTAAAAAATGTAATCTGTCCTCTGTGGTCTCTCTACATAACAGGCAGTCATTTTTCACTTTGTGTTGGTTAAATTTATCAATATTGTCCTGTAAGCGGTAGGTATTTGTTACGAGTTGAGCTTTGACAATGGCCTTATTTGATGCCTTCGGTGAAAACGTACTTGACTGCCATAATGGATGAGGTCGTCTGCATGAGTTGGTCTGTAATTTCAGATGTTGTAGGGAAACTTTTTCTGAGATTTCAATTTCATTTTTGATTTGCCAGTAGTCAGATATTTGCTTCTTTACTTTCTGTTTCCAGTGTTTTGCCTCTTCATTGCTTTTTATATTTTTTAACAGGTATAATGGGTCTGGAAGATCGTATTTTTCCAGGGTACTTTTTGCTCTAATAAACCAACTGGCACTGTTATCAGATTTTGTCAATAACTGTCGTACTGCCATTTGGTGCTCTATTGTTGCAGGATCTTTAGCAATATTCAAAAATGTTGTGATAATTCTAGCATCAATGTGGGCTTCTATCGTTTTGGCTCCAATAAGGGATAGAGTTGCAATTGATGCAGTCCTGTCAGGGAGACTTTGAAGTTGTTTCAGTACCTTTCTTTGATATTTTTCAAGTTTCTCTAAGTCAATTTTCCTTATGTTTAAGAGCTCAATTCCATGTAATAATCTAGGTATAACGAATGTAGTCCACATATTTAGAGTTATAACAGGAGATAGACCATTTTTTCCATGCATTCCACTTCCAAGTAGAGCGTACAATGTTCGTCGGGCAGTTTCTATTCGCTGACTGACATCAGGAGTATTTGTTGAATTTCTTTCAATGCCTAGGTGTTTTAGGGAAGATACATGATTGATAGTTTCATTCCCCAACTTCACTTCAATTTCTTGCTGGTATTTTTTCTGATGAGTATTAAACGTTAGGATTTCACATTTTGCTGAATTTATAGTAAATCTATCTTTATTTGAAGCAGTATTCACTAAATTTGTCAGAATCTGCGCGTCTCTTTGGTTTTTTGTTAATAGGGCAATGTCATCCGCGCATGTTGGCGCGGTGATGTCAAGAGTTCCAATCTTTACTCCCTCAGGTACAGTCTGTAGTGCATTTAGGAGGTCATTGTTGAATCTTTTATACATTAAGGTAGATAATTTAGCTCCTTGCCTTATACCTTGTTCTAGTTTTATTTCCTGTGATAGATTTTCATTCCATTTCACTATTGTATGTGCATCTGTGTGTAGAGATTTCACCAAGTTCCAAAGGTCGCCTTCAATGCCATCTTTATATAGTTTACATAGTAAATTTTCGTGCCACACTACATCAAATGCCTTTTCTGCATCGAAAGTCTGCAGGATTAATTGTTCTTTATTGTCCTTTGCGTCGCAGAAGGCTTCAGAGATTATTAGTCCGGCCATCAGTGGGGAGGTTCCGGATGTGAACCCTCTTTGAAGGGCATTTTGTGATGGATCTAAAATAGGTTCCAGTTGGTTCCTGTTTACGCCGATTGACCTTTGACCTAAAATGGCGACGGTAATGTGAAAGTCGACTATTGCCCTCATAAATGTTCTATCGTGAATCCTGAATCCTAAATCCTATATCCTGAATCCTATATCCTATCCAATCCCATCCCATGTCAACTTATAGGATAGCAGCACTGTATGTAAAAAATGCCGACTTATTTACTTATTCACTTACTTACTTATGTAAAACCTGTAGGTGCGAAACAACCTAGGGCGAACATGTCAGCGGGGCAAACTCACTCGTCCCCGGCGGAAGTTAACCAAATAATAAGTGCAAAAAAGTCTGTGGCATGTGCCTTTTCTGTTTGCAAGAAGTGTAATTGAAGAATAACTTGTGATTGGTGAGTATTTTATTGTAATAAAATATAAATGTCATATATTATTTACCGCTCTTAGTACTGTAAGATACTAAGGTTGAACATGTATTTTTGTTACTTTCGTTTTGGACAAAGAAAATAATAACAAGCTAAATGTACCTCATAAACTCCATTATTACACAGGGGCATCTTATCCACTCTGTTCTTTACTTCACATATAAAAATACACAAGGGAAGAATCGAAAGTAGCACACGATTTTTTAAAAGAGTCCAAAAATAACTTACTTGAGAAAAGTTACACAAATCCTCACATGCACTAGCCCAAATGATGTCCTAGTACTTATACAGGCTAAAATATTCCAGATATATCCATCGAAAATAGCTTTTATCCAACTAAAACCCCAGCTTTCTGCACAGTGTGAAACTCTTCGCCCAAGAAAAAATAACTCACCCGGATGACAATAGGGTAGTACCTGAAGTCTTCCAATAGCATGAAATTTATCAGTCTTCGACAAATCCCGGGAGTCCGATGCCCGGGACCTGGTAAAATTGGAAGCGGGCATGTAGAAATTGTACACTTACAAGCCCGAAGGGCATGTTAATTCTAAGGCATAAGCCTCGGTATAATAAATTTAAATAAGACCAATAACATTAAATGTATTTTTTAAAGTCTTTGATTTTCCGTCTAAGTGAAATAAAAAAAAAACAAAATTTTACCGACATCTTATTTTACCGCGATTTCCAAGGAACTCTTCTGCAAAAGAGACACAAAAAGTGTACAGGTTGAAAACAAATGGCGAGACAAGAAATTGACAGAATCGATTTTCAGATTATTTCCTTGGCATGAAAAGGCAAATAAGAATAAAATAACTTGATAAAATTCGAGGCATGTAAATATTTGTTCGGGCTTGCGTAATTGGTGATCACACCTGCCCGAAGGGCATGTGCTGAGAAAAAGATTTGGCGAAGACTGATTTATAAGTATATATATATATATAGACTTCTGAAATTCGGCTCTATTCTCTCTGCTGAAATGTTTAATATACAACTTTTTGCCAGGATCAGATGACATTGTCTAATAAATGCTATGATGTTTTACCCTGTTTTTAATTAATATTTTTAGAAATGAGGTCTATACATAACTTTAAATTATGAACAAAAAATGAAATTATTAAATACATGTAAATAAGATACATATAATTTATGTATAATCTTATAATATATAAATGATATAATGTATCCATACTTTGTTCAACGATAGCTGTTGAAAATGTTTATTGAATACGATTCGCTATCCAGAAAATTATCAGTTTTTTATGACTCGTCTATAAGTCGGACATAGACTTTTGGACTAAAATTTAACTCCAAAAATACCGACTTATAGGCGAGTATATACGGTAACAATTTAAAGCTGCAGATGGATATTTATTAAGTTCTAATACAGCCAGATTAGAATTATATGATGTATTATTTGTTATAATTAATCCCTACACTGTAAGTCTCTTAGAGATGTATATATTATGTACAATATTTATACCCCCGCTCCGAAGGAGAGGGGGGTATACTGTTTTACCCTTGTGTGTCTGTCCGTCCGTGTGTCTGTGTGTCCGTGTAGCTGTGTGTCCGTCCTTAACAAATTTTCGTCGCAGTTTTCTCAGCAAGTACTCATCGCAGATGCTTGAAATTTTAACACAATCTTCTCTGAGGCATGCCATACGTTGGGATTCATTTTTGTTCAAACCCGATGTCAACTTCCTGTTTGTCTGTGTGTCAGTCTGTTTCATACATAACAAATTTTCGTCGCAGTTTTCTCAGCAAGTACTCATCGCAGATGCTTGATATTTTAACACAATCTTCTCTGAGGCATGCCGTATGTTGGGATACATTTTTGTTAAAATCTGATGTCAACTTCCTGTTTGTCTGTGCATCTGTCCGTTTCATACATAACAAATTTTCGTCACAGTTTTCTCAGCAAGTACTCACTGCAGATGCTTGAAATTTTAACACAATCTTCTCTGAGGCATGCCATACGTTGGGATTCATTTTTTTTCAAACCCGATGTCAACTTCCTGTTTGTCTGTGTGTCAGTCTGTTTCATACATAACAAATTTTCGTTGCAGTTTTCTCATTAACTATTCATAGCAGATGCTTAATTTTAGTACACTCTTTGTTGAAGAAAGCCATATGGTGGGATTCATTTTGAAATGAATCTGATGTCAACTTTTAATTTTTCTGTGCATCTGCGTTATTGAACTTATGTATATTAACATGATAGTGCTTATTTACATCAGAGCGGGGGTATTACTAGTGAGCATTGGCTCACAGATTTCTTGTTTAAACATGATAAGAAATGGAAATTAGATCATTGAAATCTGTGTCAATCTGTTAATCAATGTTATGTATTTTCTTGCACCTTTACCAATTTATAATTATTGAACAATATATTTGACGGGCGTATCATGCTGTGGCGGGCACTTTATTTTTAAAATAAAATTCAGAAAATAATATAATATATAAAAAGTTTATTATACTTATAAGAATGTTTTCATGCTGGGACCCAAAAACATTAAATGCTGCACTCCCAACATAATAGGATATGTACATATACTTCACTCTCATAAACACTGCTTGAGATTTATATAATATTTTAGAGTTTTGAATTTTACATTAGTAATTGCTTTACATTATAAAAAAATATTTTTGACTTAATTTTCTTTCAGATTTTTCCAAACACTGTTTCCTAGCAACTCTATATTTTGTTTTGTTGCACTCCTGACATGGTATAACATTTTTCAACATCAGCCATGACCATAACTTGATCAAACAAAAGTTACAAGCCACTTCTATAATTAACATCTTAAAAACAATGTGGAGACCATGACACCATAATTATGTAATCGTGAATCCAAAGACCTGCCTTGTATTTCTATGGTCACCATTGTTCGTCCCTACCCAATGAACCCCAACTCTTTTCCTTTGTTCACACACCCTTCTACCCATTGTTTGTTACTTTAAAAGAGAAAAAATACACACAATAGAAAAACACCACAATAAAAGGTGTTCGAAGTATGCACTTTGATAAATAAAGAATTGACGAGGTTTATCATTTAACAGATCTGAAAAATATATTAAAAAGAAGCTTTTTTATTAAGAATTTTTAATAACGTAAACATTTGAGTCCCTCTTTAATCCATAAAAGAAGTAATATTATACATGACAAAACAAGCTCCCATTCAAGGGTATAAATATGAATAGGCAATCACTCAACCTTAACATTACAGGTAAAAACATGTCTAAATATATCCACACGCTGTCAATTTAAACTTCATTCTGGTTTAAACAGCAGTTGATTGTAACATTTTAGATATTAACAAATCTGACGTAATAAATCCGAATATATTTCAGAAAATTTCTAAGTAAAAGAAGGTTTAAAATGTCAATACAAAATCTGTTGAAATGTTGAATTATATCAATATATGGTATTTCTATATGCATAGTGTATGAAATCGTAAAAATGGATTATTCACTCATTTAAAAAGATTTTCAGATTGACAAGACAACGTGAACAAGATTTTGTTTTCAATTGATAAACAGGGAAAAGGTGTACCTTGTTAAAATTGGCAATTTGATTATGATTCGATGCAATGAGCATTTGATGTGACTGCTGTCAATAACAACACTTGTTTTCATTTTTCCTGCTGCATCTTTATTTTCTTTCAAATACATGTCAATAAAACAAAGGTAATATATCGTACAATCGATTATATGCTACCTTTCCAACCATTTGCAGAGACCTCATGAATTAGATTTTGAAAGGCATTGTAGCTATTTTTATTATTCTTTATCATATATTAGCTACTATGTCAACGTTCTAGTCTATATTTAATTTTTTCTCTTCAAATTAGCCTTCTTCAAGAATATCCGCCTTTTGTAATTAAACACTCCCTTGTTCTCTTCGTTTGAATAGTGTTTTAGTCTGTTGGCAATCTTCTTCTAAAGTGCCTCTTTTATACGACGACAATTTTCCGGACCAAATCCCG